AAGTAAAAATTTTTTTTCGCATTTCTTTTACATCATTTGATAGAGCGCGAGCTGCTGATCACGAAAACCTAATTTTTAGCCTTAGCAAATGATTCCTTCCGGTCGAAAAATACGAAATTTCTCAACATAGGAAAGGAAAGAAAAAAAAAAGGATACGTAACTTTTTGCCTGGTGGTACGATGAGTCGAATGAGATGAAATATTTGGCTACATTGCTTACGTAGAAAAACTAGATAGGTTTACAAAATCGACCTATACGTGGTACATTCGACCCGATTTGAAGCGCCGCCACCAATAGAGTTTTCGGTCTCGAGTCGATTTAAGAACTTTTTCCTATTCAGTTTTTGATACTGAATCTGAAAAAATTATTTTCAGAAGCAAAAAGAAAGAACAAAGTAGAAAATTTTGCACATTTCGAGAAATGATGTGTTTTTTTCAAAAATCGACATCTTTCTAGTATTTCGTATTTTTCGACCGGAAGGAACCATTTGCTAAGGCTAAAAATTAGGTTTTCGTGATCAGCAGCTCACGCTCTATCAAATGATGTAAAAGAAATGCGAAAAAAAAATTTTTACTTGAAATTCGCATTGCCGGCACCTTACTTGAAAATAAATTTACTATGCTTAAGAATGGTTTTATTATTTTCTGATAAGAATAGTGACATAATAAACGTAATATTATATCTCTGTCTTTCGTTGCAGAATTCATTACAAGAAATGTGATGTTTTGAAAAAGATATTGTATACATCACACCAAACAGTTATTACACATTCTTTTTCTTAATTACCATTTGATTTTATAACTCATATTTATATGAAGACAGTGAATGCAAATAGTAAATTTCATGATATAATGCAATTCAAGTTGAATCATATTCAACTCTGTATTTTTGTCTATTTATAAGTCAATTCATTGAATTTTTCAAACTTCAATTTTACGTAATTTCTTTTTTCATCCTAATCAATAGCTATAGATTTCATTAATTTTTCTAAGAACATACAGTTGTTTAAATTAGATTCTAATTAAATATTACCTTAAAATTATAGCCGAATGTAATTGGTTCAGTTGTGTTTTGTTTACTTAAAAATAATTTTAAATTTTCAACTATTAAATAAGTATCATCATCTGCTTTAACGAACCAATCGAAATCATTTTGATGATGCTCATATGCGAAATAAAAGCCTAATCTTGATTTTAATGTTAAATGATCATAGCCAGGTAGAGTATTGTTAATTGGTGCTATTGACATAGATTTGATAAGTTGAATCTCATTATTCGTTAGGTTTTTTGGTATTGTGTCACAAATAAAATAATATTTGTCACATCATCATGCCCATGTTTCATGAACAGCTCGTGCTCTTGTAACAAGAGTATTTGCTGATGTAAGAATTAAACAGAGAATACGAGTTAGGTTCTGCATCTTCTCATTATGACGATAACGTAAAATAGTTTCATATGGATCAAGTTTATAATTGAGTCGAGAACGAATATAGAAAATGCTGATTAAAACAAAGATGATAATACCAACTCCGATCCGAATTGAACGCTGCTTTTTTTTAATAAGAAACGATATTCGATTACATTTCATTTGAACCAGATTGATACTCGCGTTCTTTTTATTTGTTATGTTAATACTACAGTTGATGAAGGAAGCGGTAAAGAAAAGGAAGAATAGAAAATTTTCTCCTTTTCGCTTAGCAGTCAGATGATAATATATCTGGCCATAATCTTTGTAGTAGCATGCAACAATAAAAAACGAAAGATAGTTGTTCTATAAGCAATAAATAGATCTTCAATGACGAAACGAGTATGTATATATACATGATTATTCGATAATAAAATTCGTGCATATTGACTGACAAATAAACAATTTATTTATGTTTTCGAAATCGATATGAAGCTAATGTGATGGAGTTAGAGAAGTTTGAAATTCTTAATGCTGAGACTACAAGAGATGGGATCTAAATCAGAGTGCGCAACAATCGTTACATAAATGTCCTTACTATGATCATACTGAAAAGTCTACATTCTAAGAAGTTTCAAATAGAATTCATCGTGCTGAGTCTTTTTTTTTCTTTTAAAGCTAAGACTCGTTCAATGTGACAGTATCCTATTGCTAATAATTCAATGTAAGACTTCGAATAGACCAAATTTTTCATTTAACTGGAATGAGATAGAATTCGATTCGAAAGTAATTCTTGTACATACCTAATTAAATGAAATATTTCATTTATTAGACTATTAAGTCAGAGTCGACGGCAGAGTTTGTAGACGACTTTTAAAAAGTATTCGATTGACTATCATGTCAACTTATTTCATTAAAAAGCTTTCAAGTAGATATTTACCGCATACTAAGAGTATCGCACGCTACATTGAGTGTTTTGGATTTTATTTATGAGAGTACATTGTCGTGTCTTCTGAGATTTCGATCCAAATCATGAAAAACAAACGGTTTACATCTAAATCGAAGTCATTTGATGCGATCTAGTGGCAGATTTAATGGGAAACAGTTATAGCTACTTGTACTTATGAAATGTCTTTATAGTTTCTAAAGAGAATTCATAGTACAGAAAAAAATAGCTCGATTGACAATGAAAATTTGTCTCACGAATACAATCTATGAAGCTCGCTGCAACTGGGAATGATTCCACAATTCTTTGATTCCAAACTTATCTTGAACAATCTGCCCAATAGTGTTGTTGAATCGAGAATCTGCTGTTCGGATTCCAATTTTGCCATTATACTATTAGGATACATCAAGTATGGGACGGTCATATTTAGAGTTTGGATAACACTTTCATTGACTTGTCTCAATGAATTTCTCGTTACTATTTGTCCAACTGTTGTTGGTCCATCGAACATCAACGCACGTGTCAGATTCATTTCTAAGAGTTTATGAAATTTTGGCACAATTATCTCTCGAAGAAGTTCTGCCCATTGAAGAACGTCGTTTTGAGTTTTACTGATAAATTTTCTATTTAAAAGCGTATGTGACACATTCTTGTAATGTACGAAAAGTGGATGATGAGCACGAACGGGACCTAGAGTGCCAATACCTAAAAGAAATAAACACTACTGTATTTCTCAACATAATCGAGTACATTAAAAGAGAGACGAGATTTGTTGAATGCATAGAAAAAGATTTGAAATTTTTTTCTTCATAACTCATTAGTTGTTATACAAGATGGAACTTTGACAAGTTCTAACTTGAACATTTCTCGAGAAAATTCACTTACCTATTTCATCTCCATCTGGCTTCCAACTGTAACCGACAATATCATATTGAGTCAAATAATCATACCATTTTTTGAAAGATTGAAGTGCTACAATGTCAATATCAACATACATTCCACCAAATATTTCAAGAAGTCGACACCGAACATAGTCGGCTTGATGTGCCGGTATTAAACGATCAAAAGCCGAATGAATATCAAGGATATATTGCTTGGCCGTTGCTTTCGTTACTAATTTGAGAGAAAAATCCTGTCGATTGTGACAATGTAATGTTTTGAATGATAAACAGATGTGAGAAGGCATCGTCTTCGTATTATCCCAGTACAACCACAGAGGAGGTCTTCCTTCGATTTCATATACGCCGGTAGACGTATTGAATGTCCAGATAAGATTGTTTTTTATTTCAATGTTCTTGAACTTTGACAAATAAACCCAGAATATGACTAGAAGAATGATCGAATATAATATCCATGATCGAAGAAACGATTGCCTAGATAAAATCAATGTAAAAGATAAACTAACTTGACAAATTAGTTACGTCTCACCTGTTTTGCATGGATTGTTTCCAGGATAAATACAATTGATATACAAGACAGAACAATAATGGACACAAATGTTTTCGCAATAATCAAACAGGACTCACTCGCTAGGTCAGATAATCAAAGTTGTGATACAGATTATTTCTTCGTTAGTGTTTGATATAGTTTAGTTTTCGCATAGAGATAATGAAGATCTTTATATCAAAGATTTCTATCAAATAGACAAATAAGAAAATATTCTACCTATTTACTCTTGGATAGAGTTATATACAGTCTAGCTGACAGAAAACGTTGGTTGATTTAGATAAATCAACGCTCAACTGCAGTTTTTTTTTGTTTTGCATAATTTAGCAAGCTAAAGGTTACATTAAGTATGATAGGAATGTAGAATTGTAAAAATTTTTCTCCAAATACTTGATTTATTTTGGAAAGTTCAATCTCATAGCCAAAACCAAGACATTTCTCCTTCGAGCGAGTCTTATTCGCTTAAATGATGTATAGTTATCACTTGACATTTACCTTTAGTCACTGCTTTTTTCTCTTCTTTAAAAAACTGACTCATCAAAAAATAATTCTTCAATCTTGATCCTTTTTTACTGCCATTTATGATTCATCATCCTTATCTTCATTGAAGTGATTGCTGCTTGCCTATTTACTTCTCTTTATGTTGTATCATAATAAATGGTTACAGTCGACAAACAATGACAATAAACTTGACATGTACGCTTTCTGTTTCTCTTTCAATAATAGTTACCTTGCGCGAAGCAATGCAAAGAATACAGCATGTCTTCTCAATCAAAGACGACATAGGCTGAAATGCATGCAAAGAGACTTGCACGATACCAAAAAAACAAATTCCCGATCCCGACAAATAAATCTCGCACTGTTCGATCATTTTCTCTGTTAGAGTTGTATAAAAATCATTTAGAGAACAAAAATTGGAGTTGATACTTTCGTATGATCCATGGTCAGCAAATCAAGACCATATTTGACAAGAGAAATATCTAGTAGACATAAGCAAGGCGAGGAACTTTTTTTTTGAGTGGGTGTGGGTGCATGTATGGGTTGAGTGTCGCTATCGATGTGGTGTGGACTGTGACTGTGGATGTTAGTGTTAGCATGGTTACAGTGAACATCCATACCCTACACCCTTCACGTCCGTTAAGACCGAACCTTTTCAACCAAGATCATCAAGTTTGGCTTAATTTAACACATTATTTTTAAGAGAAAACCTGAAGAAGTTTCAATTGGGAACTACTTTGGGAAACATTAAACCGTGCATATAGAATTTTTACGAAACGCTCTAAAAACTTATCTTTTAGTCCACAGAAGTCTTGACAGTGCCATATCTCAGAAAAGGAGTCAGTGATTAAGCCAGAATTTTTATGAAAGTATACTTCTTTGAGTTCTAGAGTAGGCCTACTTATTAGCAAAAACTGTGGATGTTCTTCAAAGCGGTTCGCCTCGCTCAATGTATTGATTGAATAAGGGTGTTTGGGTACGAATAAAAGAAACAGATGCTCTTGCTCACACATTCAAGAAAGAAATTCAGCAGCGAACCCACTTACATAGATCAACGACATCGACAAACATCAGCAAACACCAAAGACGCGTTTACAAACTCATTACACAACCGCGATTTAAACCAATGGCGATTATGTCAACGAAAACATTGAACGGTTGTTCTATTTCTGATGTACTTCAGACTCTCAGAGATCTTTTATTTGTTCTTTATTGTTATTTCTTAATTGTTCCTTCGTTGTCCACTCGCTCTTGTAGATTTTGAAAAAGCAGCTTTTCAAAGACTGCTGAAACTAGTCAAAAATATATCTACAAACAAAAGAAAGGTGTTTTTATTCTGAGAGAAACGTCTCAAAAACAAGAAGAAAAGTTTTTGTTGCTAAAAGCAAAAAACAAACTACTCTTTGTTTTCAATTTTAAGCTAAATTATATGATTAACCCACATTGACAATCATCGACAATCTTTGCAATTGAAAAATTACCTATTTCCAAATTGCGTATTAATTAATTTCAAATTAATCTGACTATGCCACTAAATATAATGGTAGAAGTCATTATGGACGGAATATGTGAGAAGGAATTCGATTGGATTTGAACCAAATAATATTCGATTCTCTTCGATTCAGTTTTCATCACTGGTAGGTGTTATTTGATGAGCATTACATTACTTAAATTTTAAAACTTGTTTTTTTTTTGTTTTGCCGTTCATATCAACTAGTTTCTTCAAATTGTTCTGTTTTCTTGATGCTAGCTTGCATCCCCGTGACTAAGGTGGAGTGTGAATGCGATATGGATATCTTCGTTCTACGCACACCGACACTCACATTCTGAAACATGTACTATTATCGTTTTCAAAAAACAATAGGCGTGGCTGTTTTTTGAATAACCCGAGAATGCAAACAGCTAGAGACCTGTTGTTTTCACCAATCGAAAGAGGAGACAAGGGGACGTCTTTTTCTCTAATATTGTAGTAGATAAAATCATTTTAAAATCAGTGATTTCTGCAAAACATTACGAAAAGTGCATGAAAAATGATCTGTCATTCCGATGAAATTTTGCTTTTGACATGTGATCTAGATGGAAAAGCTTCAGATCTATAGTTCAAGATCTAATTCGAATGATTATTTTCCCATATCCTGATGTTGAGCAAATAAAATCATCTGTTTACTCGCACGAAAACTATGGATTTCTTTTAATTTTTAAGCAAATTTTCTTACTTTTTGTCAAAATTTCATCTGAAGGACATGCCGGTTTTACACATTTTTTCGATGCTTTGCAAAAATCACTGATTTTAAAATGATTTCATCTACTACAATATTAGAGAAAAAGACGTTCGATTGTCTTCTCTTTCGATTGGTGAAAACCGTAGGTCTCTAGCTGTTTGCGTACTCGAGTTATTCAAAAAACAGCCACGCCTATTGTTTTTTGACAAGCGTAATAGTCGACTCGGTGTTTTGTGCTAATTCCAAAAAACATATTTATAAAAGGTGAAAGACGAGCTCTTCTACTCGAAAAACGTCGAATATTGGTATAAAAGATGCTATTGGTTGCGATTATGAGTATTAATAAGAAAAGAAAATCTGCAGTCGTCGAATTTCAAGGTAAAAGTGATATAGTAAGGGAGTATATAGAATTTCATATTCACAAATAAAATAATGCTGATACAGAAGAAAAAAAATTCAACTTCATAAGGCAAGAAAAATCGTTATTTGTCAAAAAAAATCACCGAATTAGGGAGATCCTTGGCATTTATTAGTATGAGAACAAATAAATGTCACATACATTGTTATAGATTCTGAGAGAGAAAAAAGTCTGCATCGAATCGATCTATTTGTAATGACTATAAACTAAAATTTAATAAAGCTTTGAATCAAAAACTGGTTTTTAAGGCTTTCATTGAATGCTTCATATTTTTCTTATTATTAGAGTGATTTCGTAAAGTTATATGATATTTGGAATGAGCACACTTAAGGCTATCAAAATATAAGGACTTGGGAGAGAACAACGAGAAATGTTTTTTTTGCGATACCTGAGAGACACCAGGTATAAAAGTTGTCGATGACGATTTTTGGGGAATATAGTTGAAAAAAGGGAACAGGGACACTTGCACTTTCGACAAGTCAGAAACGCTCACGTTCATGAGCACTCGTCACCGTGAGCGTTATATTCTTACCCACACCTACCTATATTTTTATCTGACCATTCGATGCGTTCCTATAAACCCGTCTACCTATTTCTCACCATTTAGCATTCTCACTGACCATTCACAGCAATATGCTTCGCATTTTGGTACACCTATTTCTAACCCCTTATACCTATCCGTAGCCCCTTATTTCGATATTTAACCTCCTATATCTATCTTTAATACCTTATATCTATGTGTATTCTTAACCTTTTATATATATCTAACCCCTTATATTTATCCTTAACACCTTATTCCTAAATCTACTTCCTTATATCTATCCTTGACTTGTTATTCCTGAGGGTATGGGTGTGGGTGGATGTGGATGTGAGTCTCCTAAAAGTGGATGTTAATACACCCACACCTATCCTCGCATGCGATGTACAAATTCTGCCGCTTTAGCAACCATCATTTGTAACTTTATGTATTTAAACCTAAACTAGTCAATTTTGATCGATGATTTATACAATTCTAGAAATAGTTTTGATGAGACCTCGTACTCGAGGATTTTTTACATGCTATTGACATTAATTATGAAGTAGAAAACAGATCCGATTTTGTCATCTCGAGATTGAAAATGGAAGTTTAGGCATGAGTAATATTTTCAATAATTTTTATAGTCATTAGATTACATGTTTCAAACTTAATTGAGTAAGTCGCTTCATTGTTGAAAAAAATATATAAACTATGCTTGGATTATATCATTGCGACACATTGCCCATGTGACGAATTGTTCGCAACGGATTGTCCAGTCATCACATGTGTAATTTTTATGATTTTGTTTCTCTGTGTATTCTATTTTTAGTACGGTTACTTTTTTGCTGCACTTTGTACCTGTATAACTTGGAGTTACACAGAATACAACTGTAAAATGAAGCGAAAAATGTAACCATGCTAAAAAAAAGTAGATAGATTAAAAATAGAAGAAGATACAAGAAGCAGTCATGCAAATTAAAATACAACTAAAAAGATTGGAAATGAAGAAAAGATAAAACGGACTAAAAGTGCGCAAAGTTTATTAATTTCGTCATGTACACATCACTTTTTAATAACCCATATATTTTCTTGTTTCAACTATTTACAAGGCAAATAAATGCTTTTTTTTATCGTGTATAGAAGATCATGAAATCTAAGTCAGAAACAAGTAAAAAAAATGAATGAATATATTCTGTGTTTGGATTGCAATTATGATTCACAATTGTGGATTAAAAAACATCTAGAAAAAATGTATATGAATACGAGCTATAGCAATATGGCAAGAGAAAGTAATAGCGAATGATAAAAATCAAACCTATTTCGACGATATAATTAAAACGATGTTCTGAAACGATTATAACTATATTAACATGAATATTTCACTTCTTTTCTTAGTATCACCAAATTATTATTAAATTATTCATAAAAAACTGTTTTTGTCACTGAATTGTATTTGTAAATCGAAGTACGATTTATATACGTTCAAGGAATATTTTATAAGCGACAAAGTGGAAGTTCTATACATAAATTGTCACCTCCTCGTACCTAGATAGCAATAAAGAACAAATCTCAAAACGAGGATTACATCTTTACATTTATTCAATTGATTGCACATTTATGGAGCTTTTGTCCTGAACAACAACTGTTAACACGACAACTACAGTCGTATCCGAATCTGATATTCCTCCAATTTGGACTGGCTATATCTCTGTTGTAGTAGCCATTTTCTTTTTCGGTTCAAATTTTGTACCAGCAGCAACACCCTACCTCAAACATGTTTATTGAGGAGTGGTTGTATGATGTCGAAGAAAGGGGATAATCAGTGTCTTTTCAATAGAATGGGCAAGTGGTCATTTTTTGGATGCTTTGGTTTAAAACCAGAAGACGTTGAAGTTCCTGCTTTTAATTATGTTGGTGTTGCTATTGCTTGTCTTAGGGGTGCCGTATTTCTTGCTATTCGTGTGGGTAAATCAAAAGAAAAAAATGTCGATTATCGATCCCTTCATCATTCGACCACTTCATCCATTGTCAATAAGCCAATCGAAATAGTACCACAACAAAACGATAATGAAGAAGTATCATCAACTATAAGCATAAAAAAGCGTTTTATTGGTTGTAGTCTAGCAATTGTGACTGGTATCTTCTTCGATCTCGTTTCTACATCTAGCACTCATATCCAAGATCATCGAGACAAATATCCAGAAGCAGCAAAAAAATGGCTTTCATTATTTATTTGCTATGTATAGAGGTATCGTGCTAGCATCATCTATCTACTATGGTGTATATATTCTTGTGAAGCGTAATCATCCTTATGTATGTGTTGAAAGCATATTACCAGCATTTATTTCACGCATTATGTGGGGTATTACACAAGCTGGCTTTATTCTTACCAATAGTACATGAAGTCAAGCAATTTCATTTCCACTTATATCAATAGGACCGACAGCAGTTGTTGTACTTTGGTCAATCTTATATTTTAAGAATATTGCAGCATTGAAAAATTATCTAATATTTGTTTTCGGAACTGTACTTAGAATTATTGCTGCTGTATTCACTGTTTTGTCTAAACCAACATCAAATTGACGATTTTTTTTTGCTCATCGCTTGTTTGCCTTTATCTTTTCATATAAAAAAAATGACTGTAGTGAGACCAAATCTGCCTCTCATTAAGAATTAACATTAAACTAAGAAACTGATTTATACAAATGGATTTAGATGTGCGCTGTATAGAGTTACAAAAGAGCGAATTGAGTGATCCATATAGTTTCTTGTGTCAAGCGAACACTAAAGAGTCTCATGAATTATACTTGATTGTTGTGTCATATGATGGAGATAAGAAAATCCATAAGAAACATGAATTCGAACAGGTAGTAGATCAATATATTATAGGATTTAAAAAGTGTAAGGTAAAATCGTCAAGACAGACACAACAGACTTTTTGTGATCATAATGTAACAGTTGGAGATATATCATTCCGCTCAAAGATTTTTTATTAAATATAAGTACACTATTACTAAAAAAGTATATTTTGTTCGTAATTCTTTTTACATATTTGTAAAAAAAAACATTCAAATATAAACAAATCTAATCTTTTTAAAATCATGTCTTACATCAAATCAAACGATGATTTTACTTGTTAAATCGAAGAAGTTATTTATAAGAAAGATTATATAAAACTAACAGTTTGAGGTTCATAACAGTATACCTAATGTCGACATGAGACTTAAAGGTATTCAATATTAACTATGTACTCTTTCAGCCTCGCACCAACGTTAGTAAAAAAACGAAGATGAAAATGAATTGCAATTTGAAGAATATTTGATTTATTTATGTATGAAAATTCGGCTTAACATATAAATAACTTCTATATGTGTTCCCATGTCACAAAAATCGCATCGCTTTCGGCAAGTAATTGAGATATGAGCAAAACATCGTTGATTTATGTTGTGAAGTGACACTTCTTTCTCCTATTTTGCCGTTATGCTCTCTGCATTTTCATTCGACGTCTCCTTTCTGCTTTACTTTCATATATATAGACTGATGTTAGGTGAACAAATTACCGATTCGATATCATTGTGTGCCTCGGAGTGTGGATGTTCCTATCAAGTACCCTGTTGCATACTCACACCTACATCCTGTCCATTTATTTTAGTACTCCTCTTCACTTCAAATCAAAAAGAATATATTTACAATCAAATGAACACTGAAAAGAATTTTAATTTCTAACAGGCAATATTTTCTTTCTAAAATGTGATCAAATTCTGAATTTCACAGGACATTTAATGAAATGAAATTCAATTATTTGTTTTTGTCTTCCTTCAACTTCATGTAACAAAATCTTTTTATACCAAGTAATTCATTTTTCTTTTATATTTCGAGCTTACATAATCCACGTTACAGAACGAAAACGAACATTATTTCATAATTAAAGCGTCCACTTATTATTTTTTTTTTGTTATTTATTTTATTCTTATAACTGTTTCTATAGGAGTAGAAGACTCATAAGAACAAAATATAAAATATGGCAATATATGCATTATTTATTTCTAAAGGTAAGGAACGAAAACGAAAGAAGAAAAATGGTAATAACATGAACAACATATTTCAGGAGCAAACTAAGATTAAGATTCTTGCAGAAAAGATTAAATTTCATCTTTGTTTTTGCTCAATCTGATCGAGTCTACTTAGATATTTTTTAAATATTATTATAAGTTTGTATAAATTTTGAATTAAGATAGTTTTTTATATACAGTAACATTACAAGTGAATTAGGTAAGAACAACTTTAAGAATAATATCGGAATTCGAATTAAGATTGTAAGATCTTTCTTCTACTCGTAATTTCTATATGAAAATCTGTAACGAGTGAGCAAGTGTGTATAATAATTAAGAGAGGCAAACATCAAGAGTATGACTGAGAAAAATCTTGTGCTCATATCTAAATAGGCACAAGTTATAATATATTTGATTAATCTTTTATACAAAATTTCTATAAGTTAGTAGTGACGAATAAAAATGATGCATAAAGAATATTTACTTTTAATCCAGAAAGGATTCTCAATTCTACTTCTATAGTTTCATTGACATACGTATTGTTATTTACAATTGTATGAATCTCTTTTTGTATGCAACATAGATGATTATTATTCTTTGTAATTATTTATTACCACTCTACAATAGGTCATGATAACAAAACTAGGAATTATTTTTTGCAAATATTATCTTTCCATTTATTTTCAATATAACAACATTGTTCATTCATCTTTACTAAGAAACAATCAAAAAAAAAGTCTAAAAAAAAAATCTATGACAATATTGATTTACAAAACAGAGAACGTCGCTAGACTTATTTTTGCTTCCGACCCTACCCATATACATGAATAGTTACAGCTGAGCACTTGTTATCTAGATTCTGATAATAACGCTTTCTATTCCAAAATTTCTCGAATGCAATCTTTGAAAAGACCATCATAAAAATTTTCATCCGTATTATCGCTCAAAATATTGGCTTCTGCATTTCTTTCTGATAATGGGTACATCAACGAAGTTTATCTTTTGTTGAAGTGAATCACTGTGAATTTAGAAATGCCATGTCATTCATCGTCTAGTATTTACGTGTTATCTAAACATTTGAAAGAGTAACCTATGTAAAAAAAAGAGAGGCAGGAAAAGTTCAATTTTAATCGATTTTTACTGAACGTGGGTACTACTTTATTGTGTTATCGTGAGCTCGTTGTTTTTACATTTTCAATATTTTTAAATTCTTCTAACATTGAAATGCTTGTTAAACTTTGTACGTATATTCCAAATCTATTGAAGAAATTCTGTATGGGATGTAGAACCTATAGTCTCAAAAAATTATTGAGTATAATAAGCTCTACTCAGATATGAGAATCTCTCTACAATTAGAAACTACAACTACATTGGATATTTTACATTCTATTCTTCCATAGATTTCTTTTTTTTTTTCATATAAATTCAACGTAGATAACTCAGCAATCATTAATTAATCATTTAACTTTTATGTCTAGGTACATTTGACATTTGACTTATAATTATTCACAATATTCATGCAAAACCCACTTCATCCAGAATCGATTGTAAAAGATAATCATCTTGAAAAATTGCCCAATGATACTACTATACGTCGTTTACCCGTTCAACAGTATATTAATATCGGTTCTTTGTACGATGCTAGAACAGATTCAATTATTCGAAATATATTATTGCGACAAAATGCCATAATTAAACCAATATTATTCAAAACTGTATATTGCGAAATACTCAAAGATGATCGTATAGAAGCTAAAAATTTACTTCATGAAATCGGTATTGACGATGATCAATGGTTAAGTTTAGCATTAAACATGATTTCTATCGATGAAATATCTCCATTAGTTGATTTAATATTTCACATAAATAAAAAATCTCGAATATTTCATTATTGCTATATAAATGACGAAAAATGTGTCACTGATCAATTGCATAAACTTCGAGAAACTATACCAGTAACAATGATTGATAAAGATACAACTCATATTATTTCTGGAATTCGATCAGGAATTCATGTTGTTGCTATATTAAAAGTATCTGTTGATAATGAAAATGAAATCAATCATCTATTAGAAAAAAAATGTCAAGATTTAACAACAGAAACAAATTTTCAAATATCAACATCAGAAAAACATTTATTTTCTCAACTTACACTAACAAATATCTTCTCCAATATAAAAGATTTAAATGAAACGAAAACATTTTTTGACCTTTGTCAACAAATAGTTCGAATAAAAAAATTAAAAACTTTTCATCGTCCATTACAATATATTCTTCGATCTATTCAATATATTTATCCATCTTACGTAAAGAATGCAGGAAAATATATTCAACTCGATCAAGAAAATATGATGATAGTGAAACAATACTTATTTCCTTTATGGTTTAAAATGAAACAATTAAAAATGTTTCTTAATTCGGAAATAGAAGAAGTGTTAAAACAATATCTTAAAACACAATTTTATGAAGTTCAACAACAAATTCGAAAAGTTCAAGGAGAATATTCAAATATAATAAAACGAATTCGTTATTGGATTTTTGAATATCGTAATGGAAGAATAAAAGTAAAATTAACTTCTGATATGTTGATTAAAACAAATGAATTATCATTGGAAAATAAAATTGATATTTGTATCGAACGACTTCGAACATTGAGAGAAAAAGCAAAATTCATCAATGATTTAAATCAACAAAATATCAAATATTTCAATATCGAACATATTGTGATTGAAGAAAATGATGATATCAAAAAAATTTTACAAATTATTATCAAACCAAGTAAAGAAGAATTCGTTTTTTGTTCTACTGATCAATTAAGAGAGGACGATCCATCAAAATGGAATGAATATTGTAATAAATGGATAAAAAATCGTGAAATAAACCTTTCACCACGTCTTACTTATGTTGATTTCTCCTATGTAACTTCGTTTCACTTATTACAAACGCAAATATTTTCTTTATATCCAGCAGCCGATGTAAAAAGAACATTTGCTTTCCCAAATCTACCAATATCATCAGCGACAAGATCTATTCAATTATTAGACAAACAATTGAAACAAACTCGAGAACGAGTTACTCTTCCAAAACTAGTTCACTTCTCAAAAACAAACCCAAAATCTTCAGAATTAGAAGCAATTGTTCATATTGATAACGCACAGAGCACATCTCAATCATCTGAAAAATTAACGTCTGAAAATGTGTTCAAACTAAACGAACAATATAATAAAACTGAAATCAAACATTATGAATTGATATCATCAAAAAACCCGATCTTAAAAAAAACTACAAAAGAAATTCGTAATTCTCCAACAGTATCAAGTTTATTATCGACAAGAACTCACACATTTACATTAGAAAAACAGTCGGATACTACAGAACAATATACTAATGTATCAGGAACATATTCAAATTCGACTTTAACATCCATACTACAAAAAAAACATAAAGGTGAAAATACGAAACAACGAATCGATCAAACGAACTCACAAAAATTATCAAGTATAAGACATGCGTCAAAACAAAAACAAGCTTATTTGATTCAAGAGCAGAATTACAAATCAAACTCATTGCCTCAATTAAATTCAACTAATATATCAACGAATATGCTTTATCACGATTAATTAGACTTAATGACCAAAAACCTAATTGCAGTCATAGAATTTTCGAATTTTTTCGACTGAAGTTTTATTTTTTCCCATCTATATTGTATTTCTTACCACGATGTCATAATAATAGCTCTACATCGTTCAATCTTTCAACTAAATTCAGTGCACTGAACGATCAGGTGTATGCTTAGTAGACTAAATGTAGACAAGAAAGATCCCGTTGACGAAAAGATGGAATCTGTGAAAAACAGAAACCTGTAAAGTGGTTACCGTCAATATTTTCATCAAGAAATGAACTATGCATATTTTCTGTGCAGACTGAAAATATATAAATCCACTATTTATATTTACCATACTGATAAAACAGTTGATTGATCCTGATTTTGATACCAAAAATGAAATTTATAATATAGTTTTAACAGTAGAGATAAATTTCATTTTAAACTTACTTTATTTGGTAAAATAAGTGAGGATGTGTAGGTGTGGCTGCTTTATTCTTCATCCTGACACACTCACATCTACACATTATTTTTGATTTAACTCTGAATTCTGTTTGAATTCAATTTGATAACTAACCTTATCTATCAGAGGTCCAAACAGGCCACGATGTTGAGACCTGCGGCTGCTACAGGCAGGCCGCTTGAAAAGGATAGGTCGCCTGGCCTGTCTACTTTTTCTTCGAAATCGAAATTTCATCTGAGAATTTCATGATTTTGTTAGCAAATAGATACAACCTTCATTAGTTTTAAAAAAATCACATTTAAGCGCGGTAAATCAGACAAATACTGCAGAATGAGTATAAAAGATACTTATAGGAAATCAATACCCTTACCATTCTGAAGAGAAGATGAGCACAAATTTTCATAGTTATCATTATCTAGTTGACATGTTTCTTAATTTTAGTTAAATTAAATGATTCTAAATCATTTTTT